ATAATATTAAAAAAAAAAAATCATTTAAAAAATAATACCCCTGTTCAAGCCATCATCTTACCAACAATCCAAAATATATAAGGATTAATTAAGAAACTCATTATTCTATTTTCATGACTGTATAAAACAAAAAAAAGTTAATTTGGTAAATATACATATTTTCTACATGCATTCAGTCATAAACTTAAAATGAAATCGAATTCACAAGAAGTAAAGAAGCTTTTGCAATAAGAACATTTCACTGATTGCAGCAAGTTTTGATCTTAGTAGTACTGATCTCTATACCAAATTCCTACCCACTAATTCACAGCAAGGCATGCAAGTTTTTAATATTATATTTGATGTCTGCAGATTCAACTGAGAAAGAATAAAATGAAGATACCAGAAAACCAATATTATACTCAATACACAGAGACACACACTCATTATATATAGAAATATATTTGGTATTTCTATACATACTCTCATGCATGCATAAATAAGGATGTGTGTAAGTAATTGTGCACGTGTGTGTGTGAATATGTGTGTGTGTCTGTGCATGCATAATTATAGACATGATTTCCAGTGGGGAAAAATGAGGAATGATACAAAACAGAAAACGTGACTGTTGTATTTTTATGTTCATGATTTACAATTAATAAATCCTGGGGGAGAAAAAAAAGGAGCTAGTTCATTTAAAATAAATTTTGTATTTATAAAAAAATTATTTCAGAATGTTAATTTAATCTTTTTCTTCCTCAGTTATTTTTACTAACATTGATACTATTTAGCTGTGCATTTTGTTTATCTTTAAAATTAAAAGTTGAAATATTTCCATATCTATACTATAGACAAGAACTGATCAAAAAGTATTGGGAATGGTGCTATAAAAATAAAGCAAAACATCAATTCGGCATTAAATGTCCTTTGATGTAATCCCCTTCTGAAGCCACACACATTAACCAGCATCATTTTCAATGATGGAAGCACTCCTGGAACTCCTATTTTGGATAGCAAGCAGTTTTCTTGGATTTCCTTTCAAGTGGGATATGATTTTTGAAGAATATCACAAGAGGTAAGATTTGGAGGATATGGTGGGTGTTGAACGTTGTAAAACCTGGTGCCCAAGCCATGGTCACTGATGAAACTTCTGGGGTGTTATGAGCTGACTACATTTTACATACTTTTCTTTAAAGCTCTGCTATAAATAATTGAGTGAGCAAGAACCTTATAACTTAGTCAGTAAGTGTAACAGAGTTCAAGGTCAGTCTATGCCAAGTGTCTTCACTCTGTATTCTTTAGTTCTGTTACTTTTTGATCAGACCTTATATATTAGGTTGTTCAGAAAATAATATCCAATTTTAGAATCAACTTTTATTCCTGAAAGCATATAAAACACTATTTAAATCAGTCAAAATAGAAACCTTGAACAACAAAATATTTCTGCCATTGAGTTACAAGATTATTTATGTCTTTAGGAGAAACACTAATGGTTTGAACACCAAGAAATCTTTGAATAATGGCCATAGACAAATTTTATTTATATTTTTAATACTGCCACACATGATAATAATTAAAAGAAAAAAAATGAGGACAAGCTAGTTAACCGGTTTCAAACCTCACTCAACAGTGCTAAATCAAAGTTAATAAATATGTATATATCATACTTATTATAAAACACAGGTTGTGTGTGTGTGTGTCTGTTCGTTTATATATTGGATCGGATTTCCTACATTTTTCAACCGATTTCAACAAAACTTCACAGGACTATGTAACATTACCTTGTGGTAGTTCTGCCAGCTCCAAAAATTGGAAAAACAATTGTTTTTGCACGAAATCAATTTGAAAACACGATTAAGAGGCATCACTGAAATGAATGAAAGGGGGACAACTCATATCGAGTTATACTTATTATTATAAATCCCAGGTTTCAACAAAACTTCACTTTTTTTTTGGCAGGTAATGTTTCTTATTGTCTTGCACACTTTTTTCTTTATCTTTACATTCAGAATGCTTTAAAAATTCCATTTACAAGACAATTGTTTATAATAAAATTATATTCAAATGGTAGACTCATAACGATTGAAAACAATGTTTTTGTTTGAGTTTGTGTTTGACCAATTCGTAAAAAAAAAAAAAAAAATTAATTAAGAATCGTGTCCGTCAAACTTAAACAATAATCTTTGTCAGTTTTATTTTTAGTCTTTATGATGGTCGATACTTGATCTATCTCTTACTGTTACATCCCCGGGCAACAACGGGCTCTACTGATAGTTATCAATAAAAGGAATGAAATCTGAGTGGGGAAAAAAATTTTTTGATAATATATACATATTTATTAATTTCAATTTAGCTATGTTGAGTGAGGTTCAAAACCAGTTAGCTAGTTCTTTCTTCATTTTTATCTTTTAATTATTATATGTGGTAGTATTAAAAATACAAATAAAATTTGTCTATTTACAGTGGTTATTAAATTTTATACCACTAATAAAATGTTTAAATCTTTGAATGCACTTTCTGAGATGTGAGGGGCATATGGTGGATGTGGCAAAGTCTTGTATCTCAAGCTGGTAAGCATCTGCAGTGTCATCCTGGCAACATGTTGCTGAGCATTGTTATGAAGTAGTGTTGGACCTCATTGATTAACCAGAGCTAGTTGCATTTTGCTTAACTGAATATGCATCTCATCTAGTTGTTGGCAGTGATAGTCAGACACCATTATCTTCCATTTAATTTAGTTTGAGTCTTTCATCATGATAAAGACGTTGAACCTATCATTTGTGATTGCCATAAAGGATCCATTTTTCAGCAAAAGTCACTATTCATTCGAAAAATCATTTGGATTTTGCAGATCCACCATCAAACACACTTCAAAATGCCAAACTCTTTGACTTTCACTAAGTTCATGTAGAACGAATTTATCAAGTTTCTTCACCTTGCCAATGGTCCAATATTGTTGAAATACAGACACCCATTATATCAGACATATCTCTGATACTTTCATGTGTTAATTGAAAATGTATGTTCACTACAACCTTGGCTTTCAAGCCATGTATCCCCACTATGGAATTCCAGAAACATCTGCTGTACTGTCTGATCACAAATGAATCTTTCACCCCATGCTCTGTTAATGTCAGCAGCAGTTTGAGAAGCATTATTACCAAGCTTAAACTCATTCAGAACAAAGTAAATGTATCTCTTTTTTTCATGTTCAAGAGAAGAAACTATTAGAATAGAACTTACGGTTACATTTAGACATTTCAGCTTTAAGATGATGAAAGCTTGTCACCAAACTAGTAACGTGCTTAAATTGCTAAACTCTAGCTACCAAAGAGCAAAGTTCATCAGAATAATTACCATGAAAGTGTTTATAGAAAAGGTACAAGGCAGTGACATTATGTCAGTGGGAAAGTGACTGAAAAGAAACAAGAAAGGATATTCTATCAATGTAGTACACATATGGGCCACTACTTTGGTATGCACTCTACTCTTTTTTTGAATTGTGCAGCTTACTGCAAAGCATTAATTAGCATCTGCAGTTCATTAAACTTAGTCTATTTAACTTGATCAATGCAGGCCCTTCTCTGTAAACAAGGTTGGTCAAAAGAAGATCAGCGAATATTAATAATGGCATACAATTTGGCTTGTATTTAAGTCTGGAACAGGATCTCTTTAATTCACAGAAGAAGAGAATTTAGCCAAGAGAAAGTTTGCAAAACACAGGTTTAAATTTGAAACCAAAACCTTTCACAGCAATGTTCAAGGTTATGTCTGTTTGCTCTGATTGGTTATTTTGATAAAAAGGAAAAAGTTATGATGTAGATAAAAATAAATAAATTGATTTTGGAAAAGAAGATACATAAAGAGACTTCTGAAAGGAAACATTTTTCTAGGCCTAGGCCAGTTGTTAATAATTTTACTGTTTGAAAAAAAAAAAACAAGGATATTAACTTTAAAAGATGGACCTACTAAAAATGACATTAATACTACTAAAAAATACAAAGTGCTAACCATAAGTTTGTGGGTCTTAAGCTGCAAAATGGCTTCCTCAAAAGAATAAAAATGACTGTTAGAAAACAGCATACTTTATTTCCCGATGTAGTGATTTCAAGAGATATGTGAATCTTTGATGAAATACAGGAAATGCATCTTTTGGAAAGAAAGCCTCCCTTTAAGTTGATTTTAAAATAGTTTTTCCTTCTATGAATATAACATTAATCTGATGAGAACATTAAAGATTTCATTTACTTTATAAGAAAGTAACAGCAGTTCTTTTCTGTCATATTTCAACAAAGAAAGCCGTATCATATTTCTACCAATTCCTCTTCTTCCTCCTGCCTGTTATTTTACATCACTTTAGTTTTCAACAGAACTTTTATAAGTCACTTATAATAAGTATTTAAGTATGTTATTAATTACTGATATTGATAAATGTAAAGAAGTGGGTTGATTGATGGTTAGCAGTGTAGAAAATGGAATCAATAAACAGAGAAAGTTTGTGTTCACTTTATGCTATGCTCTTCAAAATGCATGAATTTATTTCCCTTTCTAAAGCTATGGGATAAAAGCAGACAGGACTCACTATCCTTTGTTGGCAATCAGTCTAGGAAAAAGATTACTATGAATATATTTGTGTTCAGTTTATACTATTCCTATGGAAAAGAATGAATCTATCTCATCTTCCCAATCTATGAGTTAAATAGAAGAGCAGACTAGGCTGTCTAGCCTTAGTAGAGAATCAATTTAGGATTGAGTGATTGTTTTCTATGGCTTATCAATCCTTTGAAAGTTATTTCAAGTCAGAAAATATTTTTAGAGTGTAAGAATATTTTTTTGACAATAATGATTTAATGATACAAGTTTTACAAATTAACCCATAGCTGGGGGAGAAGAGGTAGAGTCATACCTTTCCCAAGGGTATTTGTGCATAAGGGAATATAATGAACCCAACTGAAATTTGAACTCAGCTCTCTAGTTAACAGTTCCAAGCCATTATCCATTACACCACCTGCACATCCAAG